GATATAGGTTGAACATGCCACTGGTTTGGACATATAACTTCTTTTAACAAGAACAGTTGTGTAAAACTACACAGCCAGAAAGTGCATACTGACACATCTCTGAACTCACTTATTCTGGTTATTAATCTGTGACAGTTCCCCAGATGTGAAATAATTTAACCCTGAATGCTCATAGTAACGTAAAAAATTCATTTTATTAGGTAATATACCCCAAATCATTCACTATCACAACCCCCAAAAGACATTATTTATTAATTATAACTCTACTATATGATTCAATAGAAGCTTCTGTGATGATGAAATTATTCTATATCTACGCAGGTACATGGCTAATATGGTAGCCTTTTGAGACTCATCAGCATTTAAATGAGCCCACTGCAACTGAGAAACTGAACTGTTAATCAATTTACATCAATAGCCACCTGAGGCTAATGGTTGCCATATTAGATAGGGCAGCTCTAGTGCTCAAGTATGCCATGGATGGGTAGGTGGAACATGGAGGAGGTATGAGGCTGAATCGTTGGGTCTTTTTAAAATCATTTGTAGAAAGCTTCTTAAAGAAGGCACAACAGCAAATTGTGATAGGAGAGTCTCTATTTTTATTTTCAGCTGAATTGATGCTTTATCATTACCCTAGAAGATGCTGATTAGGAGTGGCAGATAATCTTTGGGCCTTAATAATAATGCGGCCATGAACACTGGCCATGGCTGACTGGCTTGGGTGTGATTTTCACATGAAACAAGACTCCATGTGTTCTATTTCTGAACACAGATTCACACGCTAGATGGAGGCTTCTGGAAGGCAATGACTGGGTCTTGCTCACAGTTGTATTCTCAGTACCTAATACAAAGTAGATGATCAATAAAAATGAGCTGAAGTATCTGAGATAAATAAAGATTGGTAAACAAACACTGAACTTTCCTTCACCCACCCCCTCCAATTGTATAAATAATCATGAGCTCAAGCTCTGAAACTGTGCAGGCCAGAATTTGCCTTCATTAGCTGTGTGAACTTAGGTTTCTTTGTGCCTCAATGTCCTCAGTTATAAAAAATAAAATTATCTGCTCTATTTAAGTGTTATATTAAATTCATTTATTGTTTTAAGGATTATTCTTGGTGCTTCTAAGTGCTCAGTAAATTATAGTCCAACTTCTTTTCTTTCTCCTTCTTAATATTGTTGGTTATGTTAAGGCAAAAGTTTAGAAGTCTATAAGCATTTTAAAATTTAGTAAAGTCTGTCCTTTGATAAGTATCTTTTCTGTATATTAAAACTTAGTGAGGGATAGAAGAAGCTCTGTCCACAATTAGAGAAACTGGAATGAGTTTAGTGCAAATTGTCAAATGTTACTACTTCAAGTCATTACCAGAAATATCTGCCCAAATTAGTAATGAGCTTAAACTGTAAAACATTTCATAAGTTTTCTCTAACTATATTGAAAAAAAACCCATCAAAATTAGTTAAACAAAACATTACCTAGTAGGATGTTTTGGGGAAATTTCTTTAGAGAAAAGTACAAAATATGTCTTTGTAATATCTGTTTATAACAAAAGCACATGCTTCAAAAAGTTTGTGAAAAAACAGAATTAAAAGATAATACAAATCCTTTTATGAACGTTTTGGAGATCCCTAGTAAAAATTTAGAGGGGGCTTCCAGATCTCTTGAAAATGTGTTTTTGGCATTCTTAGACTGTTTTGTAAACTCTGCTACTCAGCTCAGAAGAGCTATTTCTCTTCCCAAATTCTAAAATATTTAAAAGAAGAATGCTTCTGTTCAAGTCCTATATTCCAGTGTTACGGAATACAAATCAAGGCACTGTGACTTCAGTGGTTACACATTAGTGGGGAAAAAAAGAGAAAGCAAATGAAATTGACCCCTGAATAATGTTGGCAGCAGCTGTGGTCATACCAATAATTGTGCCATAATATTTGATCCTTAAAAGGTGCCATATGGCCTCTTAACTCAATTGAAGAGAGAGAGAGAGATGTAAGTTCAGAGAGGACAACTGTATTGCCCAGGTTCACATAGAAACGTTATCTGCATATCTAAGGGTAAAAATTAAGTCTGATCATTTCTAGTCCATTCTACTGGACCACACAACAGGTGTGATAGCATGTGATAGAAACTGTATTCCCAAAATTTGCTTGTAATCACTTGTTTAGGATTGAGAATGCATTTTCCAAGGTTAAAAGAAAAACCTATTTTGAAAGGTCTTTGGCTTCCCACAAACAGCCCAAAGATGCATAATTCCACACTCAGTGCTGCAGGCCCTATCTTCTGTATATGATGTGTTTCCAAGGAGGGAAAACAATTTTGGAATTATTTGGATGCAAAGGGAACATCTTCTAACCATTTAGCCTGGCTGCTTCTAATCAGGATTGGCCTTCAACCCTGGAAAAAACAACCTAGTCTTAAGGGTGGTTTTCTGACATCTGACTTCTAGAAGAAAGCGGAGATTTTTAAAATTATATGTTTCAAGCAGTGAAATAGAGTGTGAGGGGTGAGGGGTGAGGTGTGAGGTGTAGCAGTTTTCTTTGGTAAGCTCCAGTCACCCAAGTTCTCAACTGGCTAAATGATGCATTCTGTACTGGCTGCCTTCCCCTCCGTCCTCTTTCTCCCACTCCCCTAAAACGTTTCCTTCACCTCCCTAAAGAAAACTATTTTCTCTCAAATCCTTCTCCTAGAGTCTGCTTCTGAGGGAATCCAAACTAAAACACATCACAATAATCCTACGATGAATCCTACTGCTCCTATTCCTGGCAGGAGAGTGGGTGTATATACAGCCTTTCTTATTTACACTTGCCCCATGGTTTCCCCACATCCGATCCTACAGGAAAGATACAGAGGAAGTCCCTGCACAAGCAGCGGTAGTTTGGATACAGGTAAGACTGCATTCACATTCATCCACATCTAGAGGAAGTCCCAGACATCATGAGCCTCCCAACACTGTTCCAGTTACAAATAACAGAACTGAATCTGAAAATCAAAAATAGGCGACAAAGGGGGTCAAAGAGTATCTAACTGCATGTTTTTTTCTTCTTCCTTTGTCACCTCCAGTTCTCACACTCCACACTACTGCAAATCTAGGGTGAGGTCTTAAGTGAGCAGTAAGCCTAGATTCTGGGGTGGGTGCTTCCCAAACAGAAAAAAAAAGATCTCTGATGCAGGAAGGGGAATGCATGGACAAGGAAACCCAAGGAACAGCTTGGAAAGAAGGGGAGTGGCAGTCTCCAGACTAGCCTGAAGCTTCAGAGTGGCTCAAGTAAAGGGTGACAGCCGCATTCACCTCCTTAAACGCTCAGATGAAATTGTCATAGTAGTTCTCAGCTCTGCCTGCTAAACACTGGGAAGGTGCTTTTTCTTTTCCCAAAAACTACAGCTTCCCAGGCCCCGGATATAAGCAATCAGATGTCTGGATAAATATATTTTTAATGTTCCATGGGTAATTTTGACACACAAAGCAAAGATGAGGACCACAGAATTGGAATATTAAAAATATTGACTTGATGTGATATAATCAAATAAGTGACTCCTTTGCTTTCTTAATCAGATGTTTCTAATAAGAATTGAAGAAGGACTCCCAAATTCTTCATAAATAAGCTCCAGCTTCAAATGGCACGGTTTGTTTATCTGTCAAAATTGTTCCCCCCCTGCCACCAAAAAAGAATGTTTCTCTGTCACTATGTGGAATGATCAAGAATTCTTGAGAAATAAATGGACGTTCAATGATGTTTATACTTTCTGAAGAAACGTATCACGTTCAAGAAGACATGTATTAGCATGAAGAAACACACAGCAAATCTGCATAGTTTAGATTCTGACTTAGGGCCAGATGCTTTTCTGTGCTTTTCAGCCCCTGAACTCATGAACTCTGCCTGACTACAACTAATGTTGTGTGCAGGAGGAAGATATGTGCTGAAGGAATTGTTCTTCATCTGCAATTACTCCTCAGAGTCTCGAAGTCAATACTTGAATCTTACCAGTGCAGCACAACAATTGGTCAATGACTCAACATACAGCTGCAATATTAACTCAGGATATGATTCATAAATGATTCTTCTTCTATTATAGTTGCTGACAGAGTCCTGGCAATGAACCCAGTCTTTTAGAGAAAAGTTGATCTTGGCAATGAACCCAGTCTAGAGAGAAAGGCTGATATTTGTGGGTGTGTATGTGTGTGTGTGTGTATATACACACAAGTATATGTATACATAGAGAGAGGAATGTGTGTATATATACATTACACATATGCACACACACATACACACACAGAACAGCTGGTTGGAACCAAAATACACTGGAAGAGTATTTTGTCCTGGCTTGTCTGCATCCCAGTATTTCCCTCTCTGCTATTAAAGTCATCAGAGAGACCTAGGTTTGAATCATGGTTCTGTCACTTAACTGGTCATGTGCCTTTTCTGAGCTTCAATCAAATGGAAAAAATAACACAGTTAAGTTTTGGGGAAGAGTAAATAAAATATTACATGTAGAGATCATAACTCAGTGGCTACACATAATAAACACTTTCTAAAGTTTAATTGTCGAGGTCACATAGACTCAGACCAAATAGCATTATTTGTCATTAAAATCATAATAGAGAGGTTTTAACCAAAACAAGGAGTTGTGCAAACACATTTTGCAAAAATATTATGGGTACAGTTTTAGAAAACTTCATTTAGAAGCAAAAGCATAGAGGTACATATAATGTAGAAATCACATAAATGCAAAAAATATCTTAGAATTATACGTTATCTCCTAATGATTAATAAAACATAAACATAGACACACACACCATGGCCTGCAAGCCCTAGAAACCCTCCCTTGACCCCATATAAATGACACTTTGCTTGTCATTTTTGGTTTTTTAATGGTTAATGAATTCCACATGATAATTGCCAGTTTTCTGCCACCCCTTTATCCCCTGCTGCAAAAGATCTAATCTATTCAGAGGAAGATAATTGCAGAGCTGTTGAGACAGAAAAGAAATGGCTGCATCTCACCACTGTTGTGCGCCTCCAGCTGTGAGGCGGAGTTGACAGCAACCTTGCATAGAGAACAGTAAAGGAGCCGTTTTGCTTTTTCTTCCTCAGTCTCTGTGGAAGGACATGAGCTATTGCCAGTGGCTGTCGTGGGGCTTTTTTCCACTTTAGAGGTGATGTCAGTTGTCATAACACTGCTTTTGCGTATTTCCACAGCTGTCGTCGTTGATATTGCTGGTGTCCCTGCTGTACTGTCTGCATTCAAAATAGCACAGGAAAAAAGGGGGGGGGGGAACAGTGGCATTATCTTTCCCTATTTGGAAATGTATCACTAATATTATTTCTGCTAATAATGATGAGAGCAACTAGAAGTCGCTGCTTGTCAATTACGCATCATTCATCATCTCATGAAGTTTACATAGATGACCGCATTTAATTTCATATGTTGAAATAAAACATCCAGATGACTCTTAAAAATACACACAAATACAATTTTAAAACATTCTATGGAGTCAATAACATACCCACAAATTTCTCCTGTTAACATATGGCCTTAGTAAAATAATATTTACAATATATTCTACTCAGTATATACATATTTCTAGACAGATGGATTTTTTTTAAAAATAGAAGATAAATGCTTTTAAGATATTTTTCTTCTTCTTTAATACTTGTCTCTCTCTCTCCATTTTCCTTCTATATTTTTCTTTAATTTAAAAACAGGCACAGATCCTTTTGCATATATGTATGCAAAAGAATATAGAGCCCTGATGCCATAATTGCTTTCTCCAGATCAGCAGTTCAGAAAATCATTGTCTTATTTACAAAGAGTTAAAATTCAGCACCAGGTACAGAAATTATCAGTATCAAAATAAGAGGAATTTTAGTCCAGCATATTTATTAAATGCATGCTCTGTACCAGGCTGTTATGTGTAGAGTTTGCAGCACCAGTGTTCAAACATCAATAGCCACTATTCACAAGGAATTCACAGACTGGTCACACCGTGTTATTATCACATTCAGGAATCTGATGACCATGAAAGTGTTGATGCACTGTAACCCTACAACCCTTCTGGCTCTTAAGTCTGATTCTAAATCTGGAGAGACCAATCATCAAAATGAAACTATAGCATCCTAACCTGACTTGGGCACATACAGATCTCCTCCTAAATATGCCAGTCACCCTGATTAGCAATGTTTGCCATACTCGATAATGAATTACAAATGAGCTCTACACTCATATCCTATCTAGTCTTATATTCCTTTTTTCTGCCTCCCAGCTGATTCTTAACCTCCTAACCAAAATATTCCCAGGCTGGCTCTCCAGCTACAGCTGCTCTTGAAATTGTCTCTCATTCCATATGCTGCTATAGTCACTATTTAATGCCACACTAAAAAGTTCATGATAAATGGATTGGACAGTGGGTATAAAGGGCAGTGGTCTGCCTGCAATGAAGTGCTGAATGCATAAACACTTACTAACGAGAGTTGATTGCAGCTACAGGATGCCTTTTAAGTTGAATATCCCGTTTGATCCAGGCATAGGGGTGGGAATATGGTTGAGGTTGTTTATTGCTACTTTCCTAAATATGGCTTCAGAAACACTAGTCAATAAGAAGAGAAATGGGCTCTCGTTAAAGACTGTTGTATAAAAGGATTCATCTGGATCTTGTTTCCTTTGCCTGACACTTTTAATCACTTATTAAATTTTTAATCACTTACTTAACTGCTAAGATAAAGTAAGTTTCTTTAGTGTCATGAAGAACATCCACTAACCATGTTTTAAAAAATACTGCAAATCAGTATCTCATGGTTAAAGAAAAATAAATAAAACTACTTTTAAACAATCAACCACATTGTATATTGACAAAATAAAATAAAATAATAAATAAATAAAAGTTCAAAAAAAAAAACTACTTTAAAACAAAGTTTTCCCACTAGAATACATTTGTTCCCTTGAACACTGAAAGGTCCACTTCATAATTAGTTTTTACTTGACTGCTAACATTCCATCATTAAAATATCAAGTAACAGCCAGAAAATATCTCTGAGAACCTAGAGATGGCATAAAACATGACAATTTCAAGAGGATCCTATAGTTGTTCATTGCCTCTGATAAACCAGAAATGACTGTTTGAAAGCATGTGTATATGTGCCCTTGAATAAATTACAAATGCCAGTCAATTTGCTAAGTGTTTTATATACTTAAAAATAATTTTATATCCTTATAAGATACTTTGATTTAGCCTTCACCTGAAGTTCTGAAAGTGAGAAAATTCCAGAAGTTAAGGAAATTTCCCAAGGTCATACAGGTGGCGTGTGGTGATTCTCCATAGTAATGTCACTAGAAGCAGCGAGCTAATACTACCGAATTGTTCTTATGATCAGCAATATGGGGAGTGACAACCGTAAATACAGATATTGTATTTAAACTTGGTGTGGCCACACACTAAAGCCAGAGTGTGATACTGTTGGTATTTATTTCATTGCAATCTACCCTGGTAAAGATTTCCCTAGCAATACCCTATTTCTAACAACTTTTCCTCTGGATCGTCATGTTTATTTTATGTCTTGATCTGAACATGGCACATAGCATAGATCATCGTAATCCTAAGCTAACTTTCCTATTTACAGTAAATTTTGTTAACAAAAGTGTAGAATAAACAAAACCATGGATTTTCCAATCCCTGTGACAGCTATATTAGTGTCTCTCCTGACCCCAGAGAATAATAATGTACATTTATACCAAAGATGGCATAAGATCAGATTCTCTATACCTAGGGTTTAGTAAAGTATTAACATTTCTTAAGGCAAGTTCCTTTCATGAGACAGGCTTAGAGAAATTAATATCAAAATGCTTAACTTTCAGCGCTTCTACTGTGTGGCATATTTTTGACTACATAGCGGAGCACAGATCTGTTATTTTCTAACCTTGCAGTTAATTGGAAATGAATACAAAATTATATTTTTATTTTAAATTTAATATATAGATCTTGATTCCATAAAGATAGAATTACTATTAATTTATAACAAGATGTGGATTTTCACTTACCTTTATTTTTTTATCAGTGATAAAGGGGCCTTTTGTAAAATTAAGAAAGTATATTTTAAGATTATGCCTTATTCAAAATAAATCAACTATTCCATACATTGCATATAAATGTACACTGCATACATATAGCAAAGAGATTTTCCTTAAACATTAAATTACCAATTATAAAATAATTCTTATCCACTCAAAAGAATCTTAAATGGATGATCATGTTAACTGCGTATACACTTGATATGATGTAATCAGTATTACCTCTGTGATCTTCCTCCCCCAAATCCATAACCCTCGTCTAACCATGAAAAAAACCTAAAACAAATCTAAATTAAGGACACTGTACCAAATTCCTGACCAGTATTCCTCAAAACTATCAAGTTCATCAAAATAAGGAAAGTCAAGAAACTGTCACAGTCTAGAGGAGCCTAAGGAGGGAGACATGACAACTAAATGTAATGTTAGATCCTGGATGGGATTCTGGGGACAAATAAAGGACATTAAGTAAAAACTTAGAAACTCTGAATAAAGTATAGGCTTTAGCCAATAATAATGTATAAATATTCCTCATTAGTTGTAACAAATGTACCATAGTAACGTGAGATGTTAACAATAAGGGGAAGTAAGGTATATGGGAACTCTGTTATATTCTTGCACCATTTCTGTAAATCTAAAACTATTCTAAAATTAAAGTTTATTAAATTTAAGAAGGGCCGGCTTGGTAGCGCACTGCTACAGTGCGCCGCTTGGGAGCGTGGTGGCGCTCCCGCCGAGGGTTCGGATCCCACATACAGACCGGTTCCCGCTCACTGGCTGAGCGAGGTGCGGGTGCGACACTGAGGGTTGCGATCCCGTTGCCGGTCCTGGTCCGGTACGGGCGCGACACTGAGGGTTGCGATCCGTTGCCGGACACGAAAAAAGACAAAAAAAATAATAATAAAAATAAATAAATTTAAGAAAAATAGAATTATAACCAGTCAACAAATAGTGCATAATTCCAGTTACTTTGAAGGATCATAGTCAGAAGAGACACTCATGGTTTTATAGCATAGCCTTCTTGACTTTTAGATAAGGAAGTTTCAGTAAATTTCTCAAGGTCATATAGGGCTCTAAGGCAGAAACTAGGATTTATTGCTGCATCTCCCAATTGCAATCTTAGTGCATGTTATCCTACCCTGCAATGACTCATGCACTCAAACTTCATTCCATCAACAATTACTAAGCAGCTATTTTGCGCTAAGTTCTATGCTAAGCAACTGGAGGTAAGAAAGCCAATTAACAAGATCATGTACTTAGTGACAAATAGTTTATGAGATATCCACAATGACTCAAAATGTAATAATAAATGTTATAAACTTAATAGACCTTAATATGTTTGGTTCATTGCTATATCCTTGCACTTACACTTGACATGAAATAGCACTTGATAAATATTTATTGAAAGAAAAAATGAATGAACAGATGAATGAATTAATGTACAACAATATTAGCTCATCATTGTGCAAGCACTTTTAAAGCAATCACAGCTATTAACTCATTCAATCCTCATAAAAATCCCAGAGGCACGTATCATTTTTATCTCCATCTTAGAGAAGAAACTGGGATTTGGAGAAATACGGGAACTTGCCCAACACCAGAACTGCCAGCAGGTAGCACAATGACTTGAACTTAGTCTGGCTTAGTTGCAAATGCTCTTCATTTATTTTTTATTGCTAAAATTTAGAGGCTTCTTTTGGTAAAAGAATTTGAGTTAGTCATGATTTATTATGCATGCTGAAAGGTAACACCTTAAATATTTGACTTTAAAAGAAGCTAAACATGGTCTGAGCTAGCGTCAATCATTTATATCCAATCATCCATTTATGCTAACGTATTAATTTTCTCAAATCCATTTAGAAGGTGGGAAGAAAAGGAAAATGTACAGCTCTCAAATAAGCTCTTGTGCAGAATGTAAGAATAAACCAGAGGCCTTCTTCACTGCACCCATTTTTTCCCCAAAAGATGAGATAGTGATTCACTTTCTTAGTATTTTCCAAAGGCTGATTCAGATTTCTTTTTACTATTCAACCAATGACTCCAGGAATAATATATGTGACAGAGAGTTGAAAATAATGGGTGGGATTCAGTGGGAAGAGAAAGATTTGACATGGTTTGGGCTTGCATTGCTGTGCCATTTTTCTGCCAGCACCCTGTAGCAAATATTCATTATTGC